GATGTGGCAGTCTGCTTCTGTAAAGATTCACAGCGTTGGAAACGCTACGAGGCAGTTCTACCCTATCCTACAATGTCACTATGAGTTGGAATCGATTCAATGGCAATGGGTTTGTTTTTTTGGTTGGATAGGTGCACAACTCTGCAAATTCACTAAAAAACATTAAACTGTATGCTTCAAATGGGTGATTTTTATGGTATATAAGACCAATCGTTAGAAAAAGACATCATGTTTGGTAAAGCAGAGAGTCAACAAAATCACAGGAGATCCTCAGTGAGGTGGACTGACACAATAGTCACAACAATGGACTCACACATACCAATGATCATGAAGATGGTTCGGAACTGGGCAACATTTCGTTCGTTCGTCATAGGATCATCAAGAATTGGAGCTGACTCGATGGCAATTAACAACAACAAATGATGCCTCAAATAAAGGTATTTAAGGAAAAAAAAAACCACTGGAATGTCTCCACGTGTCTCATCACACAAGCACTCTTGTGTTGACTGCAGAGATTTCCAGACGTCAGGAGGGGAGAAGACACACAGCCTCACTGAGGTAGGTTCTGCTATAACCTCGCCCCAGCCTGGCTACGACCTAACCCGATAACACTTCTCTATTTTAGATCCAAGATGGGAATGGGCAAAGCCATTTATGAGCTTTTGCTAAAGAAGGCTATTAGGTTGAGTTCATGGTAAAAAATAGTTTTCTAACCTTTTTCTTCTCTTAATAATATTTTATTGTGCTTTTAGTGAAGGTTTACACAGCAGTTTAGCTTCCCATTCAACAATTTCTACACAAACTGGTCAGTAACACTGGCTGCATTTTTCACAATGTGTGAACGTTCTTAATATTTCTGTTCTGGTTGATCTGTTTAGTTTTCTAACTTTTAATACTTTATAAAGGGTGTTATCTCTGTGCTAAACCAAAAATGCACCATAAAGATTGAAACACAAACATCCTGAGAAGGGATGGCTTCTGTAAATACCACATGCTCTTAAAAATACCACCAAAATGGGCAACGGTGGGTCTCCTGCCAGTGTACACAGCCCCACCTATAAAGCTGTCTTATATAAGCATCATCGCATCGGGTTCCTGGATAAGGGTTTGTGAGTGATATAAATATTTAGCCAGGTGTTGATGGGCATGACAATTCAAACAAGGAGCCCCTCTGAAGGCACCTGGAGGACATTTGGAATTGATGGTTCAGAGGGAAGAGTCCATCCCAAGACACAGAAACGAGGCTGCTCACCCTGCCCTGAAAGCCGGTACGAGCAGGAAGGCATGAACAGGAGAAGTAGGGAGGGAACGCAGAACAAGGCTAGACCCCACTCAGACCCCAGGTGGGAGTGGGCAGTGCAAGAGCACCCATACACTCCTGTGTGAAGGACGGATGGGAGGAGAGCAAGATGAGAAGCAGGGGCACCGTGGAGGAGGTGACGGCAGAGAGGTGGGCAAGGGAGAGTGCAGCTACTGCCAGGCGAGCAAGAAGGGATGGAGACAAAAGGCCCAAGGAAGATTGTGCAGGAGTGGGCACTGCAGAATGGCCCCTTACTGAATGCAGGAGGGGAAGAAACCAGGAAGGTTTTCCAAATTCCTGGATGGAGCAAAAGGTGCATGGGGCTGGCATCTTTTAAAACAAGTGAAAGAGAAGTGGGTTTGGGGAATGAGGGGAGAGTATTGCAATGCTGTGTGTACACCCACTCCTCACTTATTGACATGGTTAGATTCCAAAGACCAGGTTGTTAAGCAAAAATTGGCGTTAAGCGAAAATGGAGGATGACCATATCAGATCACAAAATGGAAGATGTCTTCACCATTATATAACTGCCAAACTACATCATTACATAATTGCCAAATTACATCACTGCATAACTGCCAAGCCACTGAGAATCATGGCCCAGCCAAGCTGACACGCACCCTTAACCATCACAGACAACAGCATTACTCTCACCTCACACCTCGGTGTTCGTTACTGCCAGACATATGTTGTTAATGCGCAAAACAGTCGGATAGTAGGTTTTTTACTACTGCCGTAAATGCAAAATGTTAGATAATGAGATAGTCAATCAGTGAGGAGTAAGTGTCCTGTCTTTATGATCCACCTGCAGTGATTCAAGTGGTGACTGAAGCTCCAGAGCAGGTTAGGCCGGAGACAAAACATGGGTGTCATTGTCATCTAGAGGGCAATGGAAGCAAGGCAAAGGAGGGGACCCCTAAAGAGTGACATACAGGTAAAGAGGGCGCAGCCCAGATCCCTAAGGACACCGATGCTGATCAGCACACAGAGAACAGGTTAGAAGGGAAAGGAGACGGAAGCTGTGTGGCTTCTCCTCCCTGTCCGCGTGAGACTTTTAATGGTCCTAAAGTACATCTTTGGAAAAGGTCCAGTGACCCACTGGGAGACAGGCCACATGCTTACACATGGAGCCTAGAAGTAGTACAACTAGAGCGTCATTGCCAGGTGCAGATGATGACCTCAGATGTGAGTATCAAACTAACCACCCTCCATTTAAAATCAACCTCCACTTCCACACTCTATCCCTCGTTCTGAAACTGTCAGGAGATACCCCGAAATCCAGGTGTGTCTGCTACAGAACATTCCAGAAATACAAATGTCAACTGGAATTGTATCACAAAGTATTCAGACAGTCTACGTTTAACCTTTAAACAGAGATATTCCTTTCACATTTTTTACCTGGCCTCTGACTCCAGAACCACTATCTATTTTAATAAGTTTAAGGAAAATAAACCAAAAAAAAACCATACCTGGTCCCACTGAGACGATTCCAACTCATGGTGATCCCCTTTGTTATGGAGTAGAACTGTCTAATGGGGTTTTCTTGGCTGTAATCTTTATGGAAGCAGATTGCCAGGCCTTTCTTCCACAGTTCTGCTGGGTAGGTTCAAACTGCCAACTTTTTGGTTAGTAACCCGTTGCCATCGTTTGGTTAGTAACCTGTTGTCATCGAGTCAATTCCAACTCATAGCAAAGGACAGAGTAGAGCTGTCCCATAAGGTTTCCAAGGCTATAATCTTTACAGAAGCAGACTGCCACATCTTTCTCCCATGAAGCGCTGGTGGCTTTGAACCACTGACCTTTTGGTTAGCAGCCAACTACTTAACCACTGGACCACCAGGACTCCCTGTAAACCATTTGTACCACCTAGGGACCTTTTAAGCAAAATATGGGCTCCTTATTCTCTTACTGGAGTCCCTGGGTAGTGCAAACTATTAACACTCTCAGCTGCTAACCAAAAGTTTGGAAATTCAAGTCCAGCCAGAGGCCTCTCAGAAGAAAGGCCTGGCAATCTACTTCTGAAAAATCAGTCACTGAAAATCCAACGAAGCACAGTTCTACTCTGATACACTGGGTTGCGATGAGTCGGAATCAACTCAACAGCAACTGGTTTTTATCCTCTTACTGTCCCCAAACATAAGCCCTGGTGGCGCAGTGGTTAAGAGCTCGGCTGCTCACCAAGAGGTCAGCAGTTCAAATCCACCAGCCGCTCCTTGGAAACCCTGTGGGGCAGCTCTACTCTGTCCGGTAGGGTCGCTATGAGTCAGAATCAACTCGACAGCAATGAGTTTGTTTTGTTTTGTTTTGCTCCAAACAAGTGCTATAACATGTAGTTGGTCTAATGCAGTCCATTTTAGCCCTGGATGTGTCTCAGAATCACTATGGAGTTTGTGTTTGTTTGTATCTTGTCTTACTTTTAAAACACTGAAACCCAGGCCCTGACCTAGTCTTAATGAATCAGAATCTGAAGGGTGTCAGGCCCAAGTAAACATCTGTGTTGTTTCATTTTTAAACTCGACCAGTAATTCTGCAGAACAACCAAGATGGGGACTGACTAATCTAACTGTTTAGGAATATTAGGACACTGAACAGGAATATCATTCTTGGCAAATGACTGGTTTTTAAAAACTCTACAGAAAAAAAAAAAAGGTAGGGGCAAATAAATTGTAAGTCATCTCTGATAAATTAATTTCTTGCATATGACTGCTGAGTTGAATGAAGATGAGAAACTGAAGCTAATCAGCAACATCATGTTATTTCACAACTCGGCAATTATTTATTGCCACTTTGGCACACACCCCGGGGAAAGGAACAAAATAAATATGCTTTTACAGAATCCAGACTCAATAGATCCACTGAGACTGGAGAAATCCCCAAATCTATCGCTCTGAGAAAATCTTTAAACTATAAACTGAAATTATCCCCTGAAGTCATCTTCAAACTAAACAACTGTTTAGCTAAACCAGTGGAGAATGCTCTCCTTGAGAACTGCACTCTTTCAAAGGATTAGCTCTATGAGATCAAATTGTCAAAAGTAACTCTAAAGCATAGGCGAAAAAGTTTTGGGGGTTGTGAGTCTAGTCTACATCAATGGTGGTGAAACAATATGGGTACAGACAGACAGAATGGTGGACACAACTTGAAGAATGTAACCAATGTCCCTGAATTGTACATGTAGAAACTGATGAATGGGTGTATGTTCTGCCGTGTTTATTTTCACCCAAATTAAGTTATCATGAGTAAATAAAAAAACCTGTTCATAAACTCACAGTGTAAATAACCAGTAGGTTCTCAAAGCTCTTCTAACACGAGTTACTGGGCAAATAATTTTCTCTTAGGTTTTCCCCAATATCCATTAGCACACTTCCTTAGAGTTGACTAACCCTGGGAATAAGGAAGATGGAAAAAATCCTCAACTTCAATTTTTTTCAAAATGTAAAGGATTAGTGGTGACTCAAGCTGGTGGGGTGGGAAGAAATAGGGAGGGATAGCTAATGGGTACAGGGCTTCTTTTTGGGGTGATAAAAATGTTCTAAAATTGATTACGGTCATGGTTGCACAACTTTGTAATATACTAAAAACCAAAGAATTGTACACTTTGAAATAGGTGAATAGCATGATGTGTCAATTATCTCTCAATAAAGTTGTGAATAAAACATAAAGAAATTGCTTGGCGTACTGAAGCTTGAGAAGGCCTTACCTGGGTGTAAATACTAAATATGTGGCTCTGTACTTCGTCCATTGAGTCAAGTCCATAGGCCACTGTCCCTAGATGGAGCCGTTTGAAAACCATCTCATTCTGGGTAAGAGTTCCTGCAACAGAAGACAAATGAGAAGCTATGCCTACCTCCCGAGGGCTTTAGTTAGTCTTAACAGTAATGACGGCTATTATTTTTTGAGAGATTACTATATATCACATCCTGGTTTAAGTACTGCCCCTGCTAGGAAAGACATCTGCAGTCATTTGCCCATAATCCCATTCCCCTTGTTTGAAAATGGTACCCTAAATTTCCATGGGGAAATTACCACCACCATTCTCTGGAGTGGTTGAAAAGGACTGTCAATCAGGGTGCCTGACTCATTCCATTGGCCAAGGTGGGGGGGGGGGGGCATGTGACATACACTAGACCAATCAGATTCTATCTTGCAGGAATCTGAATCTTGAGCAGAAAGATAATGTGGACAGAGATTATTATCATCTACTTATTCCAGTGACTGAGTGCTACAAAGACTATTACGTAAAGTCTGCTGCTGATATATTTCCTGGTTCCCCTCCTTTCTGATGCCTAGTTTTTCTTTGATTTTGAGAGCCACCCAGTATCTTCAGAATAGATGTCTTTCCACCCACAGCTCCTAAATGGTAGAGATGAAGCTTAAATCCAGGTCTCTCCACTTCCCAATCCTTGCTCTTAGTAACTATGATAACCTCGTAACTTGGCAGATGTTAAATCACGGGGTGTGCTTATGAGATTGAGACTTGAGACCAGACTGCCTGGGTTCAAAGCTTGGTTCTGCCACTATGTGATTGTGATGAGTCACTTACCCTCTCTGTGCCTCGATGCCTCATCTGCAAAATGGGACAGCAATACCACGCAATTCACGAGGATAGGATGGGGGTTGAGTATAGAAAGGTGCTTTGCACAATAGCTAGTACTATATGGGTCTGCTGCTGTCACCATCATCATCACCATCATCAAATAATCAAGCGGTGAAGAAAATAAAATAGCAGCAGCACACATCTCTACTATCTCCAGAAAGAAATCAAGAGTTTAGGTCAAAGCACTCGTGCGCTTTCTTTCACTTTGAACCCTGTCTGTTGTTGTTAGCTGCCACTGAGCAGATTCCAACTCATGGTGACCTCGTGTGTGCAGAGCAGAACTGTGCTCCATAGAGTTTTCAAGCCTGTTTTTTGGAAACAGATCACCTTTTGGAAGCAGACTGCCAGGTCTGTTTTACGAGGTGCCTCTGGGTGGATTCAAACCGCCAGCCTTTTGGCTCGTAGCAGAGTGCTCAACCATTTGCACCATGCAGGAACAGCCTTGAACCCTGTCTAGACCCCGGGACACGGCTCACCTGTCTTGTCTGTCAGTAAGTAAGAAATCCGACCCAGCTGCTCAGGAATTGTACTGGAACGAACCACGGTCCCAGGGATTTTGGAATCCCTTCGAATCACCCAGCTGTACACAATCTTGCCCATATCCAGGTTCACACGCAGACTATTCAGAAATTCAGAGCAAACAGGTTAACAGGGTATATGTAAGGCTCCTTGTATGTCTTTTTGTAAACAACACGGACGCTAAATAAACATCCTTTGTGCCCTAACATCTGGAACCACTCCCTATAGTGCACTGCACTGCGGGTGTGAATCCATAGACTGAACAAGAGTTAATATCTCCCTCTATCAAGTAACCCACTAAAGAAATCATTATTTCATGGAGCTACCCTGCTATGGACTGAAGTCACTGAAGAAACCAAAAGGTAGTTGTTTTCATCTTATATTTGCTTTGTTTTTTTCTTTTTTTTAATTACTGGTCCCCTAAGCCAATAAAGAATATATTAATATATTAATTTTTAAATTTCATTTTACTGCAAAAAATAGAGATCTTCAAAATCATTCCTAATCCTCTCAACATCAACTGCTTGTCATTTTACTGCCCAGCCCTGGTCCATATGAATATTCAATCCACAAATTTTCAATAATATTGTAGACAGAAGTTTATAATCAACATTTTCACTTAGCCTTACACACACTTTTTTTTCTAGCAATAAAGTAGACTTATTTATTCTCTGAAGCCAACGTCTATAGCATGGTAGGTGCAATCCTTCTGTGCTAGTCATGCTGTTGTACAAAGAGCCTTAACCTCTGTCCTCAGAAGATGAGAAATTCTAGTTGGGATGATATCAGTATGCAAGAGAGCAAGGCATAGCTCATAGTTCACCCCAAATCTGTTCTTGTTGTTTCTCTACGTAATCTGTTCCTGCTGTTTATGTTTAGAAGACAAGCTATTATTATTTATAGAAGGTAAACATAAACAACAGGAACAGCTTACTTTCTATAAATAATAATGGCTTTCAATTGCAAAAAAGATAAATATATCCCAAAATATTAACAATGATTATCACTTGGTAATGAGATTAGAGGTGACTTGTAGTTTCTTTTGCTAATGTAGAGCTTCAATCTTTTTCTACTATATCTATTCTTATATAATTTTTAAGAACAATTTATTCAGCTTCCCCATCACGTAGAAAAACCATTGGCATGTGCCATCGATCTCCCACTGAGTACCTACGGCAGACATTACTAATCAGTCATGATACTATTTTCCACTGAGCCCAGACTCAGGCTCAAAATCCATCTCAACACAGCACTCCCAAGAGCTGCTACCAACCTCTCAGAGCTGGCACATGAGATGAACTCTACAGGGCATCGCTGGCATAGATAGGCAAGGCAAGGAAAGATCTTTTGAGCAAAGAGTTATTCAACAAAGGATGGCTCATGGCAGTGGAACGTGCCCCTCTAATCCTACTGCCAGAGAGCGTGGTGCACTCCTGACGCTGATCATTCTTGGTCGTCACTCTACAAAGAGACCAGCTCCTTCTAACAGCCATAAAAACATGATCTTTGAATGAGTGAAGAGAAGAAAACATTCAAGAGATCCAATGTCCCTGAAAAGTCATGGCATCCAAACACAAGCATGTCCCTGCTTACCTGATGGGAATGATGTTGGAAAACAACAGAAGGAACCGGATGATCTGTAGGTACCAACGACCGGCAAAGTGCTGCAGGGCAACCATGACCAGCGACACCACCACCAAAGCGCCAAAGAGGATCTTCGTGAGGCAGTTCACCTCCAGGTCAAACAGGCCAATCTGTGGGACCACGAACAAAGGGGAGCTTGGGTCACTTGGTGCAACCCACAGCCCACCTGGAGAACTGGACCTTTACCCGTGAATCTCTCAACCCCAAGAGAACAGATCCTCACGTCTTTGGATTGGGAACACTGGGTTCCATGGACCACAATTCATAACAGACATGCAAGGGACCTCAAAGAACTTGGATTTGGAATTTTTTTATAAGATGATTTAGGCTTGGAAACACATAAGCAGGTTACTGCTGCATTCAGTGATGCTGTACATTGCATAACCCCTACAACCGTATACCACGACCCTATAAAGTGACTCAGGAACCATGCTCTTCGCACCGTTGCTGTTGTCAGGCGCCATCAAGTCAATTTTCGACTCCAAGCAACCCCATGTGACAGAGTACAACTGTCCTATAGGGTTTTCTAGGCTGCAATCTTTATGGGAGCAGAGTGTTACATTTTTCTCCCGCGGAGTGGATGATGGGTTTGAACCGCCAACCTTTTGGTTAGCAGTCAAGTGCTTAACCGTTGCACCACCAGGGCTCCTTCTTAGTACTGTCCAACACGCTAATTCCGTTCTGCCTGCAAGTTTGGGGCACAGACCACTGGTGGAACTGATTTTTAGGTGCTACATTAATGAACATTATTATTTTAATAATCATGTATTTATTTTAACATGGAGTCAAGAAAAATGTAACTAGCATATCACACTCATAACTTCAAGAATTATGACTCAGAATGAGGATCAAACATTAAATAAATGATATTGCAGTTGTAACAATGGTTGTAACGGAGGGGCAAAAATGACTGAATTTTGGGAAGCATGGCATCAGTTCGCGCTATTGGCAAAGGAAATCATTTGCAACATTCTGATTTCTACAAATTGGAGGAGGAGGAGGGGTGGGCCTGGGGGTGGGGGTGGCGGGGTAGGTCACGGTGTGAAACAAGCAACGACAGGGTCACTGGACAGGCCACAAGTCTGCCATCTCAGGAAGTGTTACGGCTTGTCGCTCAGCTTGGGTGTGGACCCCCGGCCCGCCCTTCCTTGCCTTGCAGCCTGGGCAGAGCATCAGGTTCTCAAGCCATTTTCTTGTCTATAAAATGAGGACTACAGAAGCACCCGTGTTCACAGGCTGTTGTGAGGATTAAATGAGATGCGGGTAGAAGGTGCAGTACAACACCCGGCCTGAGGGGAGTGAACAGAAGTGTTTTTTAACTTAAAAACTTTAAAAATGTTATGCATTTATATATGCATTATATGTATTCATATACATATTTATGAAAAGATACCTGTATAGATGAAATAACACTACTAGGTGTCATTGTTTTTAAATCTAGTTCCTCACCTCACCAACGCCAGCCATCCAAGTCCATCTGGTGAGACACTTCTGACAAGGGAAATGCATCCAGTTGACCTTTTACGTACCTTGCTTCGGGGATTTGAGGTATTCATGACACTCCGGAGTTCTCTGCCAGTATAAAGAACGACACCCACAACAGTACCTAAAATGAGAAAAACAAAACCCAGAGAAATATGAATACAGATGGGTGGTCTTACAGACAGAACAGTTTGACCTGCTTAACAGAATGTTTTCTAAATCCAACAGCCACACCATGAGGATATCAGAACTTCCACATTGGAGCCAATCAGTGATCTATGACTACGCTGACCAATATGATAGCTGCTAGCCACATGTGTCTATTTAAATTTAAACTCAATTAAAATGAAATAAAATATAGTTCCTCATTCTCACTAGCCACATTTCATGTGTTCAATAGCCATAGGGGGCTAATGGCTGTCATATGGGGGAGTAAAGCTCAAAGCATTTCCATCATCATAAAAAGTGCTATAGGACAGCACTCATCTATGGGGTCCCAAGCCAGCTGCCGTTGAGTCAGTTCCAATTCATAGCAACCCCAAGTGTTTCAGAGAAGAATTACATTCCATGGGGTTTTCAGTGGCTGCAATCTTTCAGAAGGAGATGGCCAGGCTTTTCTTCTGAGGCACCTCTGGGTGGGTCTTAATGGCCAACCTTTTGGTTAGCAGCCAAGCACTTAATTCAGCACCACTGAGGTACTCCTCTTTGGGGCCCAACAGCCTCTAAAAGCAGAAGAATTGGAGCAGGGGTCTTTAGTCCACCATGTCACTGGCCTTAGAGACTTCCAGAGGTGCCCAGAACATTCCCATATTCATAAACCATTATGGGAACTTATGAAAGCACCCTTCTTTTTTGGGGGGCACATTCTTCCCATCAAGTCTGATTCCTTTCAGACTCTGTGTCTACCCATTCAGGGGATATCTGTCCAGATAACAATTCTCCTTTCCTAAGAACTTCCCTCTAGCCACCCAGGGCACAATATTGAAAGACATCAATCCCTCTAAAAGTAAACAATTTATAGAAGAAATACAAATGATAAAATATAACTATTGGTCTTCATTCATCTGGAACAAAAAAGAAGGAAATCCAAGAATCAGAGAAGGAACTGGACTACGGGACTGTCTACATGAACCACTGCCTCCTCCACCTTGAGACCAGAAGAACTAGATGGTGCCCAGCTACCACTACTGAACATTCTGATGAGGAGCACAAGAGATAAATCCTGATATAAAGGGAGAAAAATGTGAAATAGAATGTCAAATTCTTAAAGAATCCAAACTTACTGGATCTATTAAGGCTGGAGGGGTCCCTGAAACTAAGGTTCTGAGTTATGCCTCAAACCCTGAATTGAAACTTTCCCCTGAAGTCACCTTTAAACTAAGGAACAGTTTAGCCCAAAGAGTAAAGATTGTCACTCTTGACTACTGTGTCTTTTAAAATATATATATATATCTATATAAGACCAAAGGGTCAACAGCTATTTTAAAGCATAGATGAGAAGGTTAGGGGGCAGAGAGATTAAGTAAATGGAAGTGAAACAGCTAGAAGAGAAATAACGAGAAGGTTGACACAATGTGAAGAATGTAACCAATGGCACTGATCATTATGTCTAGAAACTCTGGAATGGGAGTGGGTTTTGTTGTGTATATTTTCACCAAAAATAAATTTAAAGAAATACAAGTGGCCAGTTAACATTAGAAAAGATGTTCAATTTAGCAAATAATCAAAGAAATGCAAAATAAGCCATTTTTATCCCTGTCAGACTGGCAAAAATTCAAGATTGATGAGACCCAATGCTGGCTAAGAGGTAGAGAAATGGATCTTGTCATAAACACTGTTGGCCACAATATACATTGCCCCATCTTTTTTGGTGGGAAAATGGACAATATCTATCAAAAGTCTACCTATGTGTCCTCTTTCCAGTGTGTGCCAAGAAAACGCTCACACTGCAGTAGGGAAAACAGACAAAGAAAGAAACCAAGAAACGCAGTCTTCATGGACAGTAGTAAGCCAGTGACAGGCCAGAGGGAGGGAGGCTGAAGGCAGGGGACCAGTTTGCACTGGGTGATCAGAGATACCATCTCTGAGATGATGACATTTGAACTTGAAACACAAGAAGCAGCCAGCCCTGCCGAGCTCTCAGGGAAGATTCCAGAATACAATTTGGTCTCTGCTGGAAAAAGAAAACACCTATCCTTCTCCTCTCTCCCCTCAGTCTCAGGAGTACCACTATCAGGGGATATACAGCAATTCAAAAACCGCTAAGAATCCAGAGCTTAAAACGCATTCGCAGTAACAGCCCAGCCCCCATCAAAGCACTGTGACTGTGTCTTTGCACAAAGAGCCCTGAAGAGGCACTGAAGTCCACCCAGGTTTACTGCGCTCAGCCAGGCAAACAACATTCTGTGCACAATGAGGTTCTTTCGAGGGAGGCTCTCGGCAGATGGCAGGCCGGGACGCTCGCTGCCTCTCGGCAGATGGTAGGCTCCTGTGAACGCAGGCAGCCAGTCCTTGCAGGCCGCGTCGTCACAGCAGATGGCTGGACGGTGGAGCTGGAGCCTGGGCTGAGCTCAGGGCTGCCCCGGCCACCCATTCACATCTGCTCCAATGCAGCTCAGTCTCAGACCCAACATCTAGAGCTAGAGAGGAATTCCTAACAGCTGGAGACACCCCAAAGTGGAGTGCTCCCCCATGGCCCCAGCAAACTTTGATGCTTGCAAACACTGCTGAAAACAGCCTTTCCAACCCAATGCCTCCCTGACCTCAAGGCCAAAACGGTCTCAGCAAGACGCCCAGCATCCAAACCACGGCCTCACCCTAAATGTCATGACCCCCCAGAGAGAAAGCACCGACTGGCAGCTCACAGGTATGTGTTGGTTTGGTGTGCCCAGGGTTTTAAAGGTGTCAAATTAATTGTCAACTCTTAAATTCAGTTTATGTAAAACATTGACATTTCTAGTTTCTCCTGGAAAATCGGAGCATCTGGTAACACTGGGCCCACGTATCCTCAGAGTACAATCAGCTGGTGTGGAACAATGGCCACCCCCTGTATCCAGACACAGGAGCTGGAGCTCAGCTCCCACCCAGCACCCCCCCATCCACTCCTTCAAGCCCCCAGCCCCACGGGCAACTCCTGACTCTACACTCTGCGCCCTAAGACCTGACTCCTGCTTCTTATCTGCCACTTCTTCGGTCCCTTCTTGCTCTCCACCCTCTCTTCACTCTCATCCTGCAGCCCGCAGACCACAGAATCCTCTCGACTCTCCCACCAGCCCCCAGCTGATTTCTCCTGCTGCTCCAGTGAGCCAGGCTAGATCTGTCAAGCACTCTATGAAGCTCTTACTAACTCCAGAGCGCCTGGTCCTGGGGTCAGTGACACTCCGTGACCCCTTCATTCCCAGTGTGCAACAAGATTAATGCTGACCCCTGAGAGTGGGCATTTGGAAACTTTTATGGTAATTGGACATTGCTGCAACATTCGAGTGTGTGATCAGCAGGCTTAACACCCTAAACAAGTTGGGCGTTATCAAACTCATGTGGAAAGGTGCGTACAGAACAGTCTGTCACGCAGTCGGAGCACAAATCAATCTGCTATAGACTGGGAAAAATACAATTGATCCCTCACGACTGAGAGTTTGTGGCCAGAATAGCTGGGTTCCGTAACATCCAGGCGACCAACTATGCCAAGCCCCCCGGGCCACCCCATCCCTTCCCGTAGTCCATCCATCACTCCAGTGACTCCGCCGCTATGTTACCATGGCAACCGCATCCTCTACAAACTGATGCCAGCGAACTCAGCTAGACCCTCAGCACTGCTTGGCAAACTTTTTTAAATGTGTTTTGACTTCCAACTGAGTTCTTATAACAATGGAATAACCATGAGGCAGGAGTGAGGTTCTGAAGGGAGCATAGAGAAATCTCACATAATTAAGATCACTCTCGAGGGGCTATCTCTTCAGGTGGGCGTCAGAAGGAAATGGCTTGTGTTTCATCGGTGTGCACTGAGATGTCCATTCGGTAAGAAGCAGGGGGAACTGAGACCAGTGAAGGAAACGGTCGATGCACCCCTCCTCATACCCGCTCAGAGACACAAGCCTGCTGAAGAGCGCGGTGGGCAATGTCATTGGACTATTGCAATCACTGCTCTCTCGTCTCACACCACCGAGCACAAAGAGATAAACTCAGACAAATTAAAAACGCGTGTGTTCAACTCCACAGAGCATTCCCCGCGAACAGTGCGAAATCTCCTCCCCCATCCTCACTATCCCAATTTGCCTTCCCTTCACTTCCTCCCAGGAGACATCTCACTGAGGCTGTGTGACCTTGGGCAAGTCGTTTAACCTGAGACTCAGTTCCTTATTCCATTAAATGCCCTTTTCAACAGTGTGAGAATAAAACAAGAGAAGGACAGCAAAAATACTTTGTTAAAACAAAAAGCACCTGAAAAATACAGGATTTATTATTGTTGTTAGTCTCTGAGATTAAGGCTGACAAGCCCTTTCAACACCCCTCCCTCCACCTCAGAATTCTATGTATCTTTACCTAAACTGTTTTTCCTTCCTCTGGTCTCAAAGGAAGTACATAAAACTCTCTCATTACTTTATATCTCTTTCACAACCTACATTAAACTTATATTACACTATGAAGTCCATGAGCGTGAAAACTAGGATTATCTGGCACACTGTTGTAGCGCTAGGGCCTACCACACAGCTTAGCATATAATATCAAAAACCAAACCAGTTGCCATTGAGTTGATTCTGACTCATGGCAACCCCATCTGTGTCAGAGTAGAACTGTGTTCCACAGGGTTTTCAATGGCTGATTTTTCAGAAGTAGATCACCAGGCCTTTCTTCCAAGGCACCTCCGGGTGAACTCGAACTACCAACCTTTTGATTAGCAGCTGAGCATGTTAACCATTTGCATCAGCCAGGAACTCCCTGGCACATGACAGGTGCGCAATAAAGGCTTGTTGCATGGAAGGAAGGAAAGAGGAAAATCACTAGAATGAAAAGCAGACACGTGAGGATTTATTTATAACTGAAATGCTAACACTGTCAAAACAAGGGCCGAAGCAAATGAATCTAGGCTATTAGAAGTCAAAGCAGTGGTTACACTTGGTGAAGGGCTGGGGGGCTGAGGGAAGCTTCTTGGGGCCTGATAATATTCTGTTTGGTGTTGGCCACGTGGGGGCTTCACTATTTTAAAGTCCATGAGTCCATGGGGTTGGGAACCCATCAATCATTATGCTTAGGATTTATCTACTATTCTGTATATGTGCTACTTTCTATAAAAAGTTACCAAAAAAGTGTTTAACTATCTGCAAGAAATTAAGTATTTATTCTTCACCATGTTGTTGTCATTAGCTGCTGTGCAGTCGGCCCCGGACTCGTGGCAACCTCAGCACAACAGGATCAGACCGTTGTAATCCATCAGGTTTTCACTGGCTGATTTTCAGAAGCAGATCACCAGACCTTTCTTCCTAGTCCATCTTAGTCTGGAAGCTCTGCTGAAAACAGTTTAGCATCGCAGTCACACACAAGCCTCCACTGACGGATGGATGGTGGCTGCACATGAGGTGCACTGGCCAGCAATCAAACCTGGTCTCCCATGCGGAAGGCGAGAATTCTACTACTGACCCACTACGACCCCATAGAACATATTGTAATACCACATGGAGCCCAGGTGGCACAGTGGTTAAGCGTTCGGCTGCTCATCAAAGTGGTCAGCAGTTCAAATCCACCAGTTGCTCCCTGGAAACCCTACGGGGCAGTTCTACTGTGCCCTATAGGGTTGCTATGAATCCCTATCGACTCGACGGTAATGGGTTCTTTCTTAATACATCATGTATTATATATTGTAATAACAGCTACACAATGAGTTCTGCCTCTGGAGCAAAGCACCTAAGTTCAAGTCCCAGCTCTGCCTTTTACCCGCTGTGTGACTTGGACAAGTTACTTAACCACTCTCTAAGCCTTGGTTCCGTCATCTTCAGAAAGGGGATAATAGGAATAACGACCCTCATGGTACCAAGAGGAGGGTTAAACAAAGTGTGTAGCATACATAAGGGGCTCAGCCCAGGGCCTGACAGGTAACAGGTATCAACACTGCTACTGCAGATCACACTCGGCCCCTGGAACCCTGTCTGCACAGGGACCATGCACTCCACCTTAGGCCAGCATTCAAAATCAAAAAGCACTACACCAATGTTCACTGCAGCACCTTTACAACAACCAAAATGTCCATCAACAGATGAACAAAGATAAACTAAACGTGGTCTATACACACAATGGACTACTACTCATCCATAAAGAGAAATGAAGTCTTGACGCACGCCACTACATGGACGCACCCTGAAAACACCATGCTGAGAGAAATGAGTCAGTTGCAAAAGGACAAATATTGTATGAGCTCACTTCTATTAAATAATCAAACATACAGAAACCAAAGATTATTAGTGGTTACCAGAGGTGGGGAGAGGGGGAAAGGGGGAGTGTTTGCTAAGGGGACATTGAGGTTATGTTAATGGTGGTAGAATGATCTGGAAAAGGATAGTGAGAATGGGTGCAGAACATGAAGAATGTAATCAGTGTTACTGAACTGTACACAGAGAAATGTTCTGTTATGTGTATTTTCACCTCAATAAAATATTTTTTAAAAGACTAAAAAATCAAAAGGCATCAATGTCCAGCTCATCTTGGTGTTTTACATGCCGAGGCTCTCACTCAGGCCATGGTCCTTTCCTGTGCACTGGATCCCCGTTCCAGCAGTACCTGCTTGGCAGCCTCCGCGGACACAGCTTCTGGCCAGAACATCCAGGCTGACCCGATTTCTGGTACAGATTAGAATGTCCATCTGGAGTGGCAATTAAGGGCTATTCCCCGAGGGGACGCTGCAGCCACGTCCAAAGGCCAAAGCAGCTTCTCTTCCAGACGTCTCTAAGTGTCCGAGGGGCAATTAGGTGTCAGGCTGACTCCTGGGAGATGCCAGGACAAGTGGAAAACACCATTTGACCGGCAACTAATTTTCCCAACTGACAGATGATTATTCTAATTACAAAAGGATTTTCTTTCCTTTTCAAATTGCTAACACACTCCTGAAGAATGGCACCTTACCGGATGCAATGACGGTGCCTGCCCAGAGCGTGTTCTCGATGCTCAAGCTCTCGCTGACGGAAGGGTCGCTGTCTTCCTAAAAAGACCAAACGGACACACGTTTTTACCTGCCAAGGCTGTCACGGAAGCCACGGGCTGTTCCTAGCATGCTCTTCTCAAGGCAGAAAGAGAAGGACTTCCCCTGATGAAGGAGTCCCTGGGTGGTGCAAATGGTTACCTGCTGAGCTACTAACCAAAAGGTTGAAGACTGAAACCCACCCAGAGGTACCGTGGAAGAAAGGCCTGCCGATCTGCTTCCAAAAGGCCACAGTCATGAAATCCCTATGGAGCACAGATCTACTCTAAAACATATGAGGTCACCATAATGTTTGGTTTTTTTTTAGTTTTCCCCTGATTTAACTAGGAACTCCAGTTTGGAAACCTACAGCTTCACCATGACAGAAAGAACAGGGCTCATGAACTACTGTCCCTGGAGTTTTCATCTCCCACGGAAATACTTGTAAAAGTTGGTACGTGATTTAAGGAGTGCAGGCGTCTAACACTGAAGAAATGTTTTACAAGATATGAACAAAAGTGCAGGAGCAAAGCAATCGTGGAGGGCCCTTTGCTGGCCAGTTTTACGGCTTATAGAAAAAGAACCACCACAAATGGTCAACAATTACTGTAAAGCAAAGACGCAAGGGCAAGGGGACAAGGAAACCAGATTACTGGAAGCAAAACATCCAGAAGGGAATTAATGAGAATGTTAAAACACTATGAAAAATGTAACCAATGTCTCTGGACAATATGCATAGTAATTGTTAAATGGGAACCTAACCTGCCGTGTAAACTTCCACCGAAAACACAGTATTATTTAAAAAAAAAAAAAGAAAAGAAAAACAACAATATCATTTGGGTTCTATACACTAATTGAGCCATATTCCTAAAATGATTTGAATTCGACTTTAATTTCCTTTCTGAAAGTCTTGGAGGGGGCTTAAAAATTCCAGCAACGGTGAGACATGCTACAGTATGGACAAGCCCTGAAAACAGGAGGCTGAGTGAAATCAGTCAGTCACTAAAGGACAAATATTGTTACTTATATGAAATAGGCAAATACAGAGAGAACAAAGTCCATCCGTGGTTACCAGGACCAACAGGGAAGGGAAAAAGGGGAGATGTTGTTTAGGGAGCTCTGGGTTTCTATTCATGGCAGTGCGATAATTTGGCAAAGGGTAGTGGTGATGGTTGTACAACACAATGAACGGGATCAATGGCACTGAACTGTATGTGTGAAAATGGTTGAACTGGCAAATATATTTTACGTATATTTTTTACCGCAATACAATAAATAAATAAAAATTGTAACAATAGCAATAGGACATGTACAGATAAAGAGGACGAGGGCCATCTGAAGAAGATGGACAGTAACCGCTTTCAGACACCAGAGTTATACTGATTCTAACCACACTTGGCTCTGCGTCATTGGGTAGTTACAGCTGATCCGAAACTGAAAGAAAACCCCAGTGTGTCCACCTCCCTGAGAAACAATATACCAGCCTTCAAGGTGGGGCCTTCTGGAGGGAATCTGACCCCCACTTGGCATAAAGTTACAAAAAATTGTCAACAGCTCTTGGCAGGCCTCCACCACTGACATGCACATTGAGGCAGGATTCTACATGAAGATGCGTACTCACTCTGGAAAAAGTTCCCACAAAGTTGTGAATGTCGATGTTTGGCTCCTCTGCGTACACATATGATCGAATCTGAAGCAGATCCTGTTCAACAGAGGTAATATTTTGGAGTTAAAACAAAGCCAGTTTATGATGAAACATGTCAGGAGACTCACTATTTCTTCAGCAGCAACTCTACTTTCCAAACAGAGCAAAGAAGCTGTCAAAATGATGGGGACACAGGGAAAGCAGAGTTAAGTCCTCTACTGAATACGTTTAGCAGACACAACACACAATATCCTAAGGCATGACAAGAGGTCCTGTAGTACAGACACCTGTTTACCATTTGCACAGTATTTTCCAAACTTGCTGAGGGGCAGAGGATACTACACACTTATTAATATCCCCCGGAACGGGCAGATGCCCCTCTGCTAACCTCCGGTTTACAAGACTCGTTCATGCCAAAGGAAAACTCCTTCGAGAAAGGGTTACAGGGTACCTGGTCTGCGAGAAGCCTGGAAAGGGCAGAGATACGAAAAGCGAACTAGCAGCCAGGCTCAGACAGCTGATAAGACAGTGAAGATGGAAAGACACATCTTGGCGAAAGTACATTTCAAAGTGGAATGTGGGGCGGGAAGGAGGGGAGGAAAGGGGACTCACTGCCTCGGAGACACAGAGCTTCTGTTAAGGGTGATGGGAAAAGCTAGAAACGGATAACGGTGATGGTTGCACAACAGGCTGAATACAATTAATGCCACTAAATGATACAGGTGCAGAATGCTGAAACAGCAAAGGTTTTGTTACATGACATATTTACCACAATAAAAAAAAAAAGTGCTGTAGAACAAATCGTGTAATACATATTTCATTCACCCAAAAAAAAAAAAAAGGCAGAATATGTTCATTGGCATAAGACAGGTACGGTCACAGGAAGAAGCGGTTACTTCCAGAACAAGAAAAAAGAACGGGGAAGAGGGACTGGAGACAGGAAAGGGAAGTGTAGGAGGGGAAGGAAGAGATGAGGCCCAGGAGAAGGAAGAGCATGCCGCAGCGAATGGCAGACCCATGTGCAAAGTCCAGACGCAGAAAACCACAGGTCCAGGGAACAGAGAATCACAGAGCGTTCCTGAGGAGAGACAGCAGGGAGGGCCTGGATCACGCAGCAGGTTAAAAGCCAGGCTAAAAATATTATGTCTTACACACACACAGAAAGCATGACGATAGGGAATTTATCTTAAGCGAATGTTTCTTAATGGCTCTGCCATCTAACAGGAAGGTCTTTTGCTGTGAAGGCTTGGTGACTTCCTACTATGAGTACAGGACCTTGGGAGTATGAATACCTGCTGCCAAGGATGAGGCTTTGTGCAAACACAGCCAAGAGCAAACCCAGCTCCTCCACACACCAGCCATGTGAGTTTGGAGAGATAGTAAACCCCTCTAGCCTCAGTCTCCTGATCTGTGAAATGGTCACGATAACACCTACACTGCAGGCGAGCAGTGCGGGCTGAGTGAGTGACTGTGGAGGGCCAGGCTCCATGCCTGCCATGTGGTAGCAGGCAGCCGCCAATTGTCATCATCATCATCAACATCTACAGCAGAACATGTGCTTAACTAGGGGACCAACTATACCCAACTCTGCCCTTGGTTTTCTTAGTTGCTATCAAGTCGGCTCCAACTCACTGCGACTGTGTAACAGAATGAAACACTGCCCAGTCCTGCGCCATCTTCGTGATCACTGGCATGTTCGAGTCCATTGTTGGAGCTACTGCGTCAATCCATCTCCCTGAGGGCTTCCTTCGTTTTCACTGACCCTCTCTCTCTCCTTTACTCCAGCACTCTCCCTCGCACCTGTTTATTTGCTCCGTTTCTTCCCTCTTCCCTCCTCTCCTAATTCTTCTTTCTTTCGCTCATTCTAACAAAATTCCTTCAAAACCAGCACTGTAATCCTGACAGGTGTGCCCAGGTGTGCCGATGACTCCTGCAGCCAGACAGCCCTGGGCCATGAAGGAAAGCTATTTGTGCTAAAAGCAGTTTCCTATTTACAAACCACAGCTTCTGCCAGCAGCCTGTTCTGGGGTTTCCCAGCCCTGCCAAGAAGTTTCTCTTTGCATTGCCTTCACCTGACCTTTTCGAGGGACGCAGGGGCCATTTATAGGAAAAGGGAAGAAAAGATTCTTTTACTAGAAAAATCTTACTTTATAATCAAGATTAAACCAAAAACGAAACTCACTGCCATTGAGTCAATTCCAACATAGTGACCCTACAGGACAGAGTAGAACTGCCCCATAGGGTTCCAACGCCGTAATATTTACGGAAGTAGACTGCCACATCTTTCTCCTTTGGAGCAGCTGGTGGGTTTGAACTGCTGACCTTACGGTTAGCAGCACAGTGCTTAACCACTGTGCCACCAGGTTAATCAAGATTTAAAAAAAAAAGAAAGCCCTTTTCTGTCGCGTCAATTCCAACTCATAGCAACCCTACAGGACAGAGCAGAACTGCCCCATAGGGTTTCCAAGGCACGGCTGGTGGATTTGAACTGCCGACCTTTTGGTTAGCAGCCATAGCTCGCTGTAACCCTCAACCACTGCACCACCAGGGTCCCAGAATCAAGATTAGTGGTTATGAAATACTAGATAAACATAAGGTTGCCCACAAACATTAAAGGATGGAAAATGGGTACATTATGATAGCCACGTGACTTGGAGTATTACGCAGCCACAAAAAAGAATAAGGGCGTGCTTTACATTTTTAATTAACTGCCCACATTTAAAATGAGAAAGACTTCACATGGAAAATCTGGGTTTCTGGGTTCTCTCTGGAAAACAATCAGGTGGTCAGGCAAGCTCAAGCTGACAATACTGCTTGGCCACAATGGTCTGGAGTTGAGTAAAGGCTCCTGGCCACCCTGGCAGGCAGGGCCTGTGCTCTCTATAGTAATGTGACATACACGCCCCTGTATGCATGCATGCTTACGCTGTGGCCTCCACGTACTAACGAGAAAAAAGTCCAGAGGCATACTAAGTGAAGGGGGGAAAAGTTACAGAATAATAAATACAGTATGATCCCATTTATGTAAAGCCACCACCCACAAACATATTTGTATTTGAACAGTTGTGAGCAAGCCAACTGGAAGACCAGTACTGAATGTTACAAGGCCCCTGCTGGGAAGAAGAAAAGATTTGGGCCACAGGCTATACAGCAAGACTTCCTGCATTTTCCTCCATAGCTTTCTGTACAATTTTAAACAAGAATATATTTGTAATCTGTTAGTATAATTCTTCTAATCTAACATTTTGTTTAAACACTACTCCCCAGTCAGATCCCTTAGGCCCACTAAGGCAGAGGGTACCCTGACAATAAAGGCAGCCATGTCCTATCCACCTCTGAGCCCCAGACCAGTTCTGGACCAGACAAGAGGCAAAGCCCGTGTCCACCAAATTGTGAAAACACTTCCAAAGAAAAGACCAAAAAATGCACTTCCACGTTGTTCTGGGCTGCCTCCAGAACACAGTTCTTCAAATCTCGAGGATCAGAATTCTTTCTTTGGCGAAATCTTACCAGGAAGTACAATACCTCCCCTGAAAAGAGTCAGAACCACCCTCATTAGGTTGGTGGTGTCTCACAGGCACCGTGGGGCCTTCTAAGAATTCCCAGGGGCCCCGGCACCACAGTTAGGAACTCACGGGCTTAGAATTCCTGGCTTAAATATTAACAGTAACCAGAGCACTATCTTACTTTTTATTGACCATGAAAAATAACTAGTATGGTGGCCACGTTTATTGGGATATTAATTCTCCCAAGACATGTTTCTCCTGGCCAGTCCCTCCCACGGAACACAGCAAGGAGCAGCACAATCAGTGTGGCCATGACCCACAAGACCTTATGTGCTCCAGCTCATCCTTTCTGATCTCCGCTGGGGCGTGCCAGTCTCTGGGCATTTAACATACATTTTATGATTCTGTTTTACACAGATGACAGAAAATGGCTGTCCACAGGTCACATACAACCCATGCTGTCTGTATTTAAACTTATCCTTGCGCTCACGCCCTCACTTACTCTACAAACATCGCCATGAATGAAGCGGAGCCGGCGGGAAGCGTGGGGTCCTGGAGAGCTTTGGGCACTTTTGGTTCCATCTAATATAGTCACCCTCTTGGACAGGGCCTGTGGCCTGTTCTGCACACTGGGTACACTGCTGTAACCAGGACAGGCAGAGCCCTGCTCTCGAGGACACAGCCTTGAAGTGACGGAGCAGGAATGCAGTGAGAGGGTCGTCAGAAGAAGCCCCTCGGAGAAGGTGATTTGTGCACCTAAGTAAGTGACAGAGACACCCAGCCCGTTCTGGGTGGAGGAAACGGAGATAGAAGTGTGCCTGGCCGGGAGGCCGGTGTGGCTGGGGCTGGTGGACAGAGGAGGGAGGGACAGAAGCTGGGATCTGAGAGTTAGCAGGGAGACAGGCTATATGGAGGTTAAAGACAACAGGCACAAATGGTTAAGCGCTCAACTACTAACCGGGAGGCTGGCAGTTCGAACCCACCCAGAGATGCCTCGGTAGAAAGACCTGGCGATCTACTTCTGAAAAGTCACAGCCACTGAAAGCCCTATGGAGTACAGTTCTACTATGCACACATGGGGTCTCCATGAGTTGGAATCTACTTGTTATGGGTTGTACTGTGCCCCCTCAAAAAATGTGTTATAAATCCTAACCTCTATGCCTGTGGTTATAATCCCATTTGGGAATGGGTTGTTTTTGTTATGTTAATGAGGCAGGCTTAGTGTAGGGTGTGTCTTGAGTCAATCTCTTTTGAGATATAAAAGAGAGTAAACACAAGCAAGCAAGCAGACAGGAGAAGAAAGAAGTCAAGCTACATGAAGATTGCCCAGGAGCAGAAGCTCAGAAGAGACAAGGACCTTCCTCCAAGCCAGCAGAAAGAGAAAGCCTTCCTCTAGAGCCAGCGCCCTGAATTCAGACTTGTAGCCTCCTAAACTGTGAGACAATAAATTTCTCTTGGTTAAAGCCACCCTCTTGTGGTACTTCTGTTATAGCAGCACTAGATAACTAAGACAGTACTCAACAATAACCAACAATAACAAGACGGGAAGACAGAATACTGTATGATATAGTGCTGGAAGACGAGCCCACTAGTTTGGAAGGCACTATACAAATGGAACAATCACGGACTCAAACATACCAACTATCATGAAGTTGGCGCAGGACTGGGCAACGTTTCCTTCTGTTATACGTAAGGTCACTACAAGCCGAGGCCAACTCACATCAACAACAACAACAAGATGGGAAGGCTCCGGAGGTTTTGAGCAGAGGAATGGCACGCTCTGGCTTACCTGTGAATTTCTGCTAGGTACCTCTGGCAGCGTTCTTAAGATTCTGAGCTTCCCTCGAAAAAGCTGAAGCCCTGGCATGAAGGGCTCCAGCATGGCCACAATCAGCTGGAACCAACAAGCACTCAAAGCTCTCCAGGATCCCACACGTCCCCATCAACCTTTACTGCACATTTAACATCTGGCCCCCAACGGCCTTTGAGTTTGAGAAGCTCTGCACAGAACGCCACTCACCGCAGCAGTGGGCAACCTCTGGGTGCAGGCCACGGGGAGCCGTAGCTTCCAGTCCGTCTCCCCGTCCAGGTGATCTGTCCGCAAGAAGCAAGACCCTGTGGAAGGAAGTAGGGCACCGTCTATTTGTCTGCAATTTAGGAATCCCTCCCTGGGCCACAAACGCGCTGTTGGCAGTTTCTGCTCTGGTTCCCTGGTAAAAACAGCCAATCAACGCCCACTGGCCAGAAGGACAAATAAATACCATATTCCCCACTTCCTCCATAAGTTCTGGGATCAGAAGGACCTGGGTTCAAATCCTCACTCCACCACTCACTAAGCCTCCGTGTGACCTCATCTGTAGAAGGGAGAGAAACGCAGATCCTTCATCCGTGTTGTAAGGACTCGGTGGGGTGGAGAACGGGAAACAGCACACGGTGGCTGGCACAGGGCAAGGGCCAGGGACATAAGTCGTCGCCGTAACCACCATTCAAGGCTGCCCTGGGCAAGGCTCCTGAGCACCTTCACAGGCACCAGAGTGCCTGGTTTGGGTCCCGGCTCTCCCCCTTACCAACTGCACGTCCTTAAGCAGTTCCTCACCCTCTCTGAGCCTCGGTTTCCGCATTGACAAAAATGGAAACAAGAGCAGTGCTAGCTCACAGGTGGTGGTGAGAATTTAAGAGCTGATCCATACGAATGGCTGAGGGCAGTGCTGACGCGGGGAAAGGCCCAGGTGAGCATCTGCGGCTGTGATCCACATGCACATTTCATGGACGTACGTTTCAGAGTGACATACAGGCGCGTGCCTTCAGTTGGCCATATATTTCATCAGAGGGAACATGTATTAAATTCCCCAGAGCCGCGGTTAGAACTTCTGAGAACACTTCAAATTTTTTTTCTTTTTAAGAAAGAGAGCATTTCAGGGGCCCTAAAACCGAATGCTCCATTTTCACTGAATAGTACACAATAACCAATTTGAGGACAAAGCTGCAGTTTTTTTAAAAAACGTCTGTTTTAATCTAGTACCTTCTAGCTCCTCTCCTGCTTATTTAATACATTATGAACAGAAAATTTCATTTGTACTTTTATCCGATTCATAATAAAATAGGCCACAGCAATGTCAAAGGAATATAATGAAAGTTTTTTCAGAGGTTCAAAGAGCTGTGCTTCTGCCTTACAGGCAAGAGAAAAATGGCCTTGTTTCTTCAGAATAGCTTCAAGTAACAAAAAAAAGAGATTTTGAGTCAGCTGGTAGGGTAGGCAAAGTCCCCGGGTGATGCAAAAGATAAACGTGCTCAGCTGCTAAACAAAGGTTGGAGGTTCGAGTCCACCCAGGGGTGCCTTGGAAGAAGTGTCTGGTGATCAACTTGTGAAAAATCAGCCACTGAAAACCCTGTAGAGCACAGTTCTACTCTGACACACATGGGGTCACCATGAGTTTTGGTTTTTGGTGGGTGGGCAGGCAAGGGTGGCAGCCATACCAGAAAGTAACTACAGCGAAGAAGGGTTTTACAGAGATGTGAGAGGTTCACTGAAGCAAACAGGAGCTATACAAAAAAAAACCATTGCCATCTAGTCATTTCCAACTCATAGCGACCCTATAGTAGTAATAAATAAATTGATGGGTGCAGGTTCGCATGACCCCACTACTCAAAAGCTAAGGACAGAAAAAGCCACCTACACCCTGCCCAGTTTCTCTACTGCCCAGTCTCCTCACACCACATCTCTTGGTGTTTCCCTGACAAGAGCGAGGATTTCTGCTTGCATGCTTTGGCCAGACACCCTTCCTCATCCCGCTGACTCCTGAAGCTGAGCCGACGCAGCCCACAGAGTAAAAATACAGCCACTGTGTGTTATTTCACCAGCTGTGACTCAGCAGGGTTCCGAATAAGGGCGTCTTTTTAATTACCGAAATCTATTGACCTGTGGGGACGAGAAATGTTTTTTTAAAAGATGACTCTATTAAAGGAGATGTCTTTGATTCGCCCCCATGACTCCAAAATTATATCTACTTCAAAATTATATCTACATTTTCAAATGATTATTTTGCCAAATTACCATTGAAAGGTTAATGGTTATTTTCAAAATTGATGCCAGATGTTTACCGTTTTTTTCTGAAGTCCTGAGAAAGATCATGTCAGCAGGGACCCGCTGGTTCTGTGTTATGAAAAGAAAGACCGTCACTGTGAAGGCCCATGTGTGGGTCTTGGCCCCCGACCCCAACTCCCTCCCCCTCAACTGGGACGAGAGCTCCGAAGCCCGACAGTGTCTTTTAAGTTTCTGCCTTTGTCAAAGACAGATTGGAGGATTTATTTTGGTTTGAATCTGAGAAATCTTGCACACTGCTGATACTTTACTAATCCTCCATTGAAATCTTATCTCGGAAAGAGTTTCTAGTTTTCTGAGGAATCCAACCATCCCCTCCCGAAATTCCAGCCAGAGGACACCCACTCTAAAGCCTGCTACTCAAGCTGGCTTTCTTCCAGGTTGTCTGCAGATACTAAAGAATGACATACACACTCTCTCTACGCTCACGTTTTCTGCTCTGTCAATTTTCCTGCTTGATGTCTGGCTTCTCGTGGGATTGTCACAAGGAAGTAAAGTAGTAAGAAGTAATAAAAGCCATTCTCAAAAAAAAAAAAAAAAAAAAGAAGGGCCAACAGCAGCCCCATTTAATTACAAACAGAAAAGTATATAACATAAGGGGGTTTGTGTGGTTCTTCTGGGCTGCCACCCAGAAAAAGTTTCACTTTACTTCAAATAGACTTTGAATTCTAGGATTTAATCCTTTTAAAAGAGCATAGTTCACTTCCTACAGAAATAAGTTAAGATACCACCCTTTTCTAATCAAATATTATTCCAAGGCTCTCCAGGGCCACCCCCTAAATCCAGTACCTTCCAACTACCCACGGTAATAAACAGAGATGAGTATTTATTCAAGTAACAAACACATTAACGCTGCTATTTGGAAAAAAAAAAAAAAACGCATTTTTTTGTCTGTTAACTGTTGTCATATTACACTTAACCCCTGCTCCCCATAAAATGGTAGAAAAGCACAATGTTTAAGTCAATGGATTCAAGCTAAAATTTCTCAAAAGGTAAATTACATAAATATTTTTAAGTGCACATGTAGCAAGCTGACTTCTGGGGAAGGTTTTATGATAAGTACCAAAAAATTGACCCCAAACAGTAATAAACACATCAAAGAGAAAAATCAGAATTTGCACTTGTGTTTGTAAGCAGGATTTCTGGCTCATCAGCACACATAAACCTGAAAAACATTTTGTGTGTATGTCCCACAGAAAATAGATTTTTCTCCCCAGGCAAAGCTAGTAGATAGAATTCCCAAGAGCATGCACTCAACTAGTCTACCAGATACACAAAATGCATGTTAGGGTTCACTAGAGTGGCAAAGTCACTACAATGGGCAAACCCATTAGGAGCCACAAGACTCTACTCACCTTTTCGACGATGATAAGATCTCCAACTTGTATGTTGGAACTCTTCACCTTCACTGTCCCTGTAAAGAAACAGGTCCAAGATGCATCAATGTTTTAATTCAGTTTGGCACGTCTTTATAGAGTGTCCACTCACCCGTAACATCAATACAGCACACTCAGAAGTATGTGTGCCCCCCACAACATCATCATCTCCTACCTCTGGCAGAAAAGGTTCACCTCCTACAAGACTGCTCAGAAGTTAAATTAGGGATCCACACTTGTAAGGCACTAAAATAATTCAGGCCACTCAGAAGTCTGTCCTTAAGTAAGATTGTCTGAATGGTGCTTTAGAAGCTTCTCTAAATTGGAACCATAAGAGATTCCATTCAGCCTCAAAAACACTAGTACCAGCTGCCATCCAGTCAACTCTGACTCATGGCGACCCCATGTGTGTCAGAGTAGAACCATGCTCCATAGGGTTTTCAACAGCTGGTTTTTTGGAAGTAGATTGCCAGGTCTTTCTTCTGAGATATTTCTGAGTGGACTTGAACCTCCAATCTTTCGGTTAACAGGTGAGTATGTTGTTGGCACCACCCAAAACCAAACCAAACTCATTGCTGTTGAGTTGATTCCAACCCATAGCGACTCTATAGGACAGAGTAGAATTGCCCCATAGAGTCTCCAAGGAGCAGTTGGTGGATCCGAACTGCTGACCTTTTGGTTAGCAGCCAAGCTCTTAACCACTGTGTCACCTGTGAAAAAAAACTGTTGCCATCAAGTCAACTCCAATTCATAGTGACCCTATAGGAGGAGCAGAACTGCCCCATAGAGTTTCCAAGGAGCAGCCTGGGGGATTTGAACTGCTGACCTTTTGGTTAGCAGCCATAGCACTTAACCACTATGCCACCAGGGTAACTGTGCCACCCAGGCTCCAGAAATGGGGAAAGAGAAGGTCTAACGTTCAGAACTTTACAATTCCTCTTGTTCCACTAGGGGGCAACAGAAAAAATATGCATAGATACACTGTTCTTTCTGGTGAGTTTATTTGGAAGAGGATCATAAATTCAACATGGCCCTTGCTGTCAATAAACTTTTCCTTCACCTGAGCTTGCCCCAACTTTCCCAAACATAAATTTACACATTGTCTTTGGTTTTATTACTAAAATTTATGTGCTGGCCTGACCCAAGCTACCACGCCTCTGTTCAGATTTTCAAGATCTAGTTATGAGTTTTCTCTTAAAATCTAACTCAAAGAACAGTATATCATATGTTTTAATTCTTATTAAATAATAATTGTATGTGTGTGTATGTTAAGGGAACTGAGGACAAAGTTAGGAGACTTATAGTAAAAGGATTAACAGTGATTCTCTCTGGGGAGATGGGGATTTGTCCCTTTCTCTGATGTATACTTTATACCTTCCCACTGATTTTTTTTATAATAAGAATAAAGTGCTTGTCTAATAAGAAAAGAAACTACATTAAATAAATTTAAATTAGTTCCATTTTTTAATTGACCAGGCCCAGGTTTTTCCCTTCCACAACTGAGTCCTGATTTATTATCAGTTAATTTGAACTCTGTCTCTCTCTGTCCATCTGCTCTACCTCAACAAAAAACCCTTTCATCCGCTGTTTGGACAGCAGCTCCTGAGTAACCTCAGCAGACCGAGCCCTCATGCAAACACTCCTGTGTACCTGACTGTCCATCAGCCACAGGCCACCACTGCCATCTCAGAAGGAGGGCCGCCCTGGCCACACTGTCATGACGTCACCTGTATTCTAGCCATGCCCCACTCATTAACACTTGATGGGAGAGCCTCAGCTTCAACAAAGTCAGACACTTGGACTTCCTAGCTCTACGAACAGACTCATGGTGCTAGCCATAAATTTGGACTTCTTGCCCCAGGTTGCCATTTTTTGGTGATCAGAAACATGCAATTTGAAACAGAATGTTTGAAACACCAATGTTCATTGCAGTACTAGTCACAATCGCCATAGGTGGAAAGAGGCTAAATGGCCATCAACAGACGAATGAAGGGATAAGCAAACTGTGGTGCATACAATGGAATATTACTCAGCGGTAAAGAGAAATGGAGTTCTGGTACATGCTGTGACATGGATGACCTCAAAAACACTATGCTGAGTCAAATAAATCAGACACCAAAGGTCAAATATTGTATGGTTCCCCTTCTATGAAATATCTAGGATAGGCAAGCATTTACAGATCAAAGCTCATCAGTGGTTACCAGGGATGGGTAGGAGGGAGAGGAAAGGGAGACTCACTGCTTAGGGGACACTAGAGCTTCTGTTAAGAATGATGGGAAAATCTGGAAACGGATAATAATAATGGTTAAACAATACGACAAACATAACTAATGTCAAAGAATTGTACACGTGATAAACATCGACAAGGCAAAGAATTTGTTACATATATATTTACCACAATTTAAAAAAATAATTTTTTTAATGTAGTTTGGCCCTGCATGCGGGACACACATTTATAATGTGTGAGTGTGTTCTGCATAACGAGAGAAAAGGCAAAGGAAACCAGGAAAAGAATGAAAAGGCAGAAAAGCAGCAGGAAGAGAAAAGGAGGGAAACCAGGTACTCTATTTATATTCCAGCATTTACTGGGAATTTTCTACCAACCAGGCATTATAATTGGCTGTAGATATCTGAATAAATGCCCCTATCTAATCAGCTCCTGGAGCCCTGGTGGCATAATGGTTAAGCCCTTGATTGCTATCAAAAGGTCAGTGGTTCAAACCTACCAGCTACTCCAAGGGAGGAAAGACCTGGCAATCTGCTTCTGCAAATATTTACAGCCTTGGAAACCCTATGGGGAAGTTCTGTTGTTGTTGTTAGGTGCTGTCGAGTCAATTCCGACTCATAGCAACCCTATGTACAACAGAATGAAACAATGCCTGGTCCTGTGCTATCCTCATGATCGTTGTTAGCTTGAACCCATTATTGCAGCCACTATATCAATCCATCTCATTGAGGGTCTTCCTCTTTTTTACTGACCCTCCAATTTACCAAGCATGATGCCCTTCTCCAGGGACTGGTCCCTCCTGATAACATGTATAAAGGAAGTGACACAAACTCTTGCCATCCTAGCTTCTAAGGAGCATTCTGGCTGTACTTCTTCCAACACAGATTTGTTTGTTCTTTTGGCAGTCTGTAGTATATGCAAGACTCTTAGCCAACATCATAATTCAAATGCATCAATTCTTATTCAGTCTTCCTTATTTGTTGTGTCCAGCTTTCACATGCATATGAAGCAACTGAAAACACCATGGCTTGGGTCAGCTGTACCTTAGTCCTTAGAGTGATATCTTTGCTTTTTAATACTTTAAGGGGTCTTTTGCAGCAGATATGCCCAATGCAATGCATTGTTTGATTTCTTGATTGGTGCTCATGGCTGTTGATTGTGGATCCAAGTAAAATGAAATCCTTGACAACTTCAATCTTTTAACTGTTTATCATGATGTTGCTTACTGGTCCAGTTGTGAGGATTTTTGTTTTCTTTATGTTGAGGTGTAATCCATACTGAAGGCTGTAGTCTTTGATCCTCATCAGTAAGTGCTTCAAGTCCTCTTCACTTTCAGCAAGCAAGGTTGTCATCTGCATATTGCAGGTTGTTAATGAGTCTTCCTCTAATCCTGATGCCTCATTCTTCTTCATACAGTCCAGCTTCTCGGATTATTTGCAGTTCTACTCTGTCCTATAGGGTCCCTATGAGTCGGATCAGTCTGTAATGATGACAGCCTAGAAAACCGTATGGGGCAATTCTACTCTGTCACACGGGGGCGCTATGAGTCAGAATCGACTCAACAGTACCCAACAACAACAATGACAATTAGCGCCCAAGTCGGCAGAGGGGGGACACGAGGGAGAGAAAAAGGGAACTCAAGTTAGAATGGCAGGCTGGCTGAGCAGGTAGTATTAGGGATGAACTAACTCACAAAATGATAAAAACTGTTAAGATTGTGGGAAGGGCCCCAAACACATTAAACATTGTTCTGGAGCTTCTGCAAACATTCTTGTGGAAAAAAGGAAGAACAAGTTAAGAAGCACTCTGGCAGAGCTCCCAGACTTCTAACAAAGAAACAGGCGAAAAAAAGCCATCACTTCTACATTGATGATTCCCCATCTCAAAAGAGAACAGGGACTCTCCGCGGGCCATCTGATTGGACAGAAAACAGATTCTCACAACACTCCACTGAAGCTGGCAGGCATACTTCTGTAGCACTCCTGATTTTTCTTCTCTTCCTTCCCCCAGAGACCCCTAAGATGGAAGTGTTGTCGTTAGGTGCTGCCAAGCCGATTCTGACTCATAGCGACCCCAAGTGACAAAATACAGCTGCCCCACAGGGTTTCCTAGGCTGTAACCTTTACAGGCGCAGATCGCCAGGTCTTTCTTCCCACAGAGCTGCTGGTGGGTTCAGAGCGGCTGCTGGGTTCGAACCACTGACCTTTTAGTTAGCAGCCAAGCACTTAACCATTGCGCCACCAGGGCCCCTTAGGATGGAAGCTGGGGCAGCTTCATGGGCAAGCAATCTACGCAGTCACACTGGCCTTGCTTTCATGCTCTGTTGTCATCACCTGAAATGCTTAATAATTTCTGAACGAGCGGCCCCGCGATTTCATTTTGCACTTGTCCCAGCAAATTACACAGCTGTTCCTGAATGGAAATGAAAGCCCCCAGTAACCTCCCTTATAAAGTACATGGGAAACTGGTCCTGCCCCAAGAACTGAAGTGGCAGAAGCCTTAAGTATTTCCCCAAGATCTCTCCTCTCATTTGGATCCATAATGCCCAAATCTCCAAACTCTAGGCTCTGGAATTTTTACAAGCATTTGCAAAGACGCTGCAGAAGCTGGGGAAGAGACTTCTGCAAAGGTTAAGTGGAAACCCCTCTGCCGGCCACATCCTAAATCATTAAATAATTCCTATGGAATAAATTTACCCCTTTTGGCTTTCACCACTTCACCCAAATCATCTCAGAGTTTTATAACAGGGAACAAACTTCCAATTACTAGAGCTGTTTATTTCTGTAGCGATGGGCTCCAAGCCTTTCATAA